GTCTTTTTCAGTTTGTTGATTTAAATGTTCGTGTCTACCATCACTTCATATTTAGGTATTTTAAATTTAGATATATTGATTTCTAGTACCTTCAGTGACATGCTGTTTAAAAATAAAAGTATACCACATTAAAGATAAATATAAAATTTAAAATAGACGTTAAGTTTTTAATCTATTGGGAATTTGATAATTTCATAATACAATAAAGATAAATTACTTCAAAAATAAAATGAATACAGAAAAGCAAAGTTGCAAGTTCAAATTAAAATTAGAAGCCCACTTACTGCCAAATTGCTTTAGAACTCTTTAAACCTTACTCATTGATTTTTGTACTTATGGACTGGTAGCAGACATTCATGGCATCAGTCCATGGACCACACTTTGAGTAGCACTGACTTATAGACATTACGATAGAATAGTAGTTCCTACCCAGGGCTATACAGCTGAACCATTAGTGACACTTAAAAATACACATGCTTATGCCCCCCACGAGATGCAGATTTAGTGTACTGGGAAGGGGCCCTGGTAATTTTCAAAAGCTCCATAGATGATTCTGATGCTTACCCCAAAGAGGAAAACACTGCTGTGGGAAATTTTGGCTTTTTATTTTCTACTTAACTATTGATATTAGAGAGCACATTAAGCATTCAAGTTTGCAAGTTTGTTATTAGAGCTTGCACTGTGTAACTCTACAACTTGATATAAATGTCTGTTGTATAAGGACAACTTTTTGTGTTATAGCTACATATAAAAAAATTGTGTATTTCAGTACTTTTTACTAGGATGAAAGCTAATATGTGACTGTATAAACTGCTCTTTTCTGAATCTATTTGCTGCCCTTGTTGTGATGTTCATATTTCCCCAAAATGCAATTTATTTCATATCATTTTGGGGAAGATGAATGAAATTTGTGTACTACTCTAAATCCCCCTTAGGGAAGGGTCTCTAATATGAAAAACCTGTTTGTTATGACATATGACATAAATGTGTTTGGTTTTTCTTTGTCTAATTGCTTAACTTTACTCATGTAGAAATACTGTTACTTGTTGGCTGTTTTCTCAGTATCACATTTTCCTTAGTTGTGGCAGAGTGTCTTTTGGACTAGTTTGAGTTTTTCATAAAAGGCTTATGACAGTTCTCTCTAGGTTACTCACTTGTGTTTTTAGTAATCTTTCATTCTGAATGGATGTGGCATTATGGTAGATTCTGTGTTCATAATTTCTTTCAGGCTGGGACTTAGTATCCAATACACAAACTGACACAGGTTTCATTTTCTTATCATTTTAAGGTTTGATAATCACAAACAGAACCCTAAGAAATCGCCTATAGTACCCCATACATAGACGATAGCAAACCCACGTTTAACTGAGAAATTCATTGCTTTAGTTAACATGTGAGTGAAGTTCTGATCTTATACCATTTGAAACATTATCTGTGATTTCACTCTGGTGATCATGTTTGTTATTTAAATAACCATATTATGGACAGGATGTTATAGAAGACGTGGGTTCAGTTAACAGAGTACCATTATTTGATAATCTTAATCAGATAACAGAGTACCATTATTTGATCATCTTAAACAAATTATTATACCTTTTAATATTATTAATTTATAAAAAGGTTAATATGGTTATTTTAAAGTACTTTCTCTAAAACATGGATTATAAATATATAGGTAGAAATCAGCCGTCATAAAGCAAGACAGATTGCGCTACAGGATCAGTTGCTGAACTGCAGTCAGCCGCTCAGTCAGTAATTCAGGAGCTGGTGGTTTACCAGCAACCACTGCATCTTCTTCACTCGGTTGTGGGATCAGTCATCGTGCCTCAGCTGTCCGTGATGATGACATGGACTTTGGAGACATTATTTCATTACAACAAGAAATAAACAGATTGTCAAATGAAGTTTCAAGACTCGAATCTGAAGTTGGCCATTGGAAGCATATTGCTCAGGAAGCTAAAATTTTCATGAGTTTTTGAAAATAGTGAGTAAAAGTACTGATGTTATATGAATAGACATATACAGAGCTCTTGGTATTAGAAAGCACTGTGGGCTAGGAAATAGAAAATCTCTGCCAATGACTTTTTTTCTAAGTGATTTTAGTCAGGGCGTCTTTCTCTTTCAGCCTTAGTTTTCCCTTCTGAACAATATTTGGAAAAAATTTTCCAAAAAGAATTTAAAGAAACAGATCCATTTTAAAAAAATAAAATAAAAAGTTTCAAGTCCAGGACTCAAAAGAGATAAAAATTGAATTGTTGTTGATTGAACCAGCACCTTTTCCACTGGAGTCCCTAAAGGCTTCTCTGGTGGAAACATCAGGAGTCTGAAGCACTGCTTGCTTAGATGATGCCTTAGGTTTCTTTTAGCTCTAGGCATGTGTAAAGTGAAATCTGATAATTGGATTATAAAATAAGTTAAACTATTTTGTGTTGTTTCTCATGCATTAGAAATTAAATCCTTGCTATTTTGGGCCATAAGCTTTCTCCCAAGGAACACTATTTTTCTTACATATGAGAGTTAATGGAGTTTGTCAGTAGACATGAGACCTGGAATAAACTGGAGCACTGTTCATTTGGATTTAATTTCATCAGTGTAGAAAAAAACAAAGTATTTAAATAGACTATTTTTCTATCTTTTTGTGAATTTAATCTAGTTATGTAAAGGAGAAATCATCCCAATTAAAATGATCTCTTTCCCAAGTTGCTAGACAGTCCCAGTAACCAAAATAAAACTTAGAAAGGCTGATTTGTTTGTCATCTTATCTCCATAAAGTAGTAGTTCTTAAACTTTGTATCTGTAAGAATATCCTGGGGAACTTGATATTGTAGATTCTCTGGCCTGTCTTCTGAGATTTTGATTTAGTAGCCTTGGAAGCTACATTCAAACAAATAAATACCCCAGGTGATTCTGATGATCTGAGGAACACATTTTAAGAAACACTGCTTAGGTAAGATTTCAAAGGGAAGTGATGGGTTTTTGTTATGTTCACTTTAGCATATCTTAAATGTTTTACTGTATGACAGATCTGTGCTGAAATATAAAGGTGAAAAAAATTGGGACCTTTCAGGACTTAATTTTCTAGCAAGGCATAATAAAAATTATTTGTATTACACTTTACAAGATGCTTCCATATTTATTATCACAATACACCTTATGTTATCCTGATAACTATGTGACCAATTTATTACCTCTACTTTGGAGATAAGGAAACTAAAAGTTAAAGCAATACACCCATTTTCACAGTGATTAAGTTATGATTCAAGAACGTCTTTTGACTCCAAAACCTGTGTTCTTTCCATTATACTGTGTTCCTTCTTTCAGCCCTAGAGCAGTTTTTAGTTTATTAACATGCTATATAGTAAATGTTAATGAACATTACCGGACCGGGACCGGCAACAGGATCGCAACCCTCGGTGTTGCTCCCACACCTCGCTCAGCCAGTGAGCGGGAACCGGTCTGTATGTGGGATCCGAACCCTCGGCAGGAGCGCCACCGCACTCCCAAGCGGCACACTGTAGCAGTGCGCCACCGGGCCGGCCCGATATACACCCATTTTCACAGTGATTAAATTATGATTCAAAAACGTCTTTTGACTCCAAAACCTGTGTTCTTTCCATTATACTGTGTTCCTTCTTTCAGCCCTAGAGCAGCTTTTAGTTTATTAACATGCTATATAGTAAATGTTAATGAACATAAATGACCCACATACAGCTTTGAATGAGAAGAATCCAAAAGTTCTTTAATTTACTTGTCGTACCCCAAATTATTCTGTCTTGGAGTAGAGATCTTCTGGGTAACATCATTTAAAAAAGATTTTTACTTGGATCATTATTAGCATTAATATTGGGTAATTTCCATTTTAGAAATTTCCTTTTAAAAAGCTGCTCAATTATCCTCACATTTGCATTTTGTTAAGCTAAATAAAATATTCTATGATTTTTTCTTCTTCACATTAGCTATTTTATAAAACCATTGTCTCTCCACTTAACAAATTCTCAAATATGATGCCTTTTATTTATTGTGTATTGCTATTGTACTAGGTTCTTTAAAAGGTGCTTGGCATTCATTGATCATAATCTGTCTGAGAAATGCCCCTTTTTTTGAAAAATATCTGTTAATAAAGTAAGTTTGCAACTTCCTATTTAAAAAAAAATCAGTGTAATTATTTTCTAATTCTCTTTTTCTGATCTAGACTTCTAAAGCACAAGGAACACATAGCTCTGATCAAAGAGAAATCTTCAAACTGCAAAATATCATTAAGGTGAGTCAGATTGCTGATTCACAGTTGCTATTATACATCTAAAATCTTATTAATAGCATAAGCGTATTGTATTAGTCTGTTTTGTATTGCTATAACAGAATACTTGGAACTGGGTAATTTATAAAGAAAATGAGATTTATTGCTTAAAGTTTCTGAGGCTGGGAAGTCCAAAGTCCATCTGGTGGTGAGGACAGTGACCCAGGGGTCTCACATTGCAAGATGGTGGAAGCAGAGAGAGCAGAGAGAAAGACAGACTCTCCTCTTCTTTTTAAAGCCCTCAGAACCACACCCCTGACCACCATTTTTAACCCATTCCCTCCAGCGAGGTCCTACAATCCAATCACCTCCTCAAGGCTCCACCTTTCTATTACCATAATAGGATTTCCCACCCTCTTAACAGTCACAGTGTGGGCTAAGTTTCTAATACATAAAACTTGGGGGACACAATTCAAGCTTCAGGGAGTTTTGGGGGGACGTAATTCAATCCACTTCATTCCACCCCTGGCTCCCCCAGACTCTGTGGTTGAGCTAAATTGCTGCTTTGCTGCTGTTTCCCTAGGGAAGCCTTTTTGTGCAGCTCAGGGTTTAATGGTTGACCTTACAGGTACTTCCAGCTCTCCAGAGACCTGGTGCACCTGGATTGTGTAGAAACTCTGACCTGGGCCTGAGTTTTTTCATCACACTGCACCCCCTGCAATTCTGCATTCCCGACCAGTCTCCTCTGAGTGGTCCTGTGCTGATTGGGGGGCTGATTGGCTGTCCTTGCTGTGTCCCAGTGTTCTCCTGGTGGGCCTGTCTTCCCCACCACCCATGCTTCAAACACTTCCCATGGGACGGGCCGTGCACCAGTCCCTGGTGATGACTCACTGGCCTCTGAATGGCTCCCGTTTTTCGGCTGTTCTAGCTCCTCACTCCTGTGAGGGTTCACAGGAACCCTATTAATGGTCTTGCTGTCCTGGGGGCCACCAAGGCCCCCTTTTCCCCTGCCACCTCCAAGTAACTCCATCTGAAGGGCACAGCTGTGGCTTCTGCTGGCTCCTGCTCTGTGCACTCAGCAGCTTAAGCATTAAAGCTGTGATGACCTGAAACTCTCAGAGCAGTTTTTTCTTTCTCTCATCGTGGTTTCTCCCACCTTCATGAACTCCACAGGTCTCTCTTCTTCTTCCCCTGAACTCCAGTGGCCCCAGCTTGGCTGATGTTACATTTTTATAGTTCTAAATTGGTTGATTTGTGAGAGAGAGTGACGCTGGAGACTGTCTATTCTGCCCTCTTGACTGGAGCTTCCTGCTTTTATTATTATTACAACACTTGTTTGGGTGGGTTCCAAAGTCCGACCTGTGTTTGAATGTTCATTGTGCTATTTACCATCTGTGTTACTTTGGGCAAGTTACTTAACCTTTCCAGGCTTCTATTTTATCATCAATAAAGTAGATGTCGTCATAATACCTACCTTGTAGGATTGTTTTGAGGTTTATATTTATTATTTTTATTTATTTATTTATTTGAGGTTTAAATATAAAGCTGTTAGCCCAGCACTGGCACATAAATAAGTGCATAGGATTAAAGAATACCTATACTTATTTTCTCAGGAAGTAGAAGCTAATGTATAGATTAGGATTCTTGGTTAGCAGCAAAAACTATCTCTAGCTAAGTAAAGGAAAAGAGGATTTACTGGAAGGACCTGGTGTAGTCCATCCATAGGACTGGAGGAAGAGATGAGCATTCTGGCCACAGGAAGGACAGGAGTGGGGACAGTGTCAGGAATCTAGGAAGTGGGATACAGCAGACAGACTCTTGAAGGTGCAGCTATCATGAAACTTCCCGTCCAACCAATTTCTCTCTTTTGAGAACTCAGCTCAAGATCTAGGTTCCTGGGAGAGACACTGGTCTTCTCAACTTGGGTAGCAAGGCACCTTGGTTGACAGTTTGGAATTCCAATCAAGACTGGTAGATAGAAAGGCTGAGTGAGAGGATGGGGATAGTAGGATAACAGATGCAGATTGGCCAGAGGGTTGATAGCTGGTATTGGTGGAATATGTCATTAGGAAAAGATAGTTTTGTTTATCTTTTGTTTCAGTGTTTTCTTGCTGGTATTCCCTCTTTAAAAGTAGAAAAACTGCTTTTAAGGCCTAAGAAGGGAAAGGGTGTAGTCTTTCAGAATTGTCCTAATTTGGGGCCTGTGTTTAAATTCTTTTCAGCCTTGACATATTCAGAGAATTATTTTTAACAAAATGGACTTTCAGACAAAAGTAAAATAAATAGCTTAGGTAAATTTATTGATCATAAACATGGTTAAATTTGTTTTTATTTTTTAAGGAACTTAAACAGAACCGAAGTCAGGAAATTGATGACCATCAACATGACATGTCAGTATTGCAGAATGTACATCAACAGAAATTGACACAAATGCATCTCCTGTATCGAGAGGAATTAAGCTACTATGAAGAACGAACTGAAGAACTCAAAAACGTGTTACAAGAATGTTATTAGATTTATTAATTTAACATGTTAGATGACATACTTAAATGACAATTCTAGCACTCTGAGACCAGGAAACTGCTATAAATTTGCACTAAGTTCTAAAGAATGAGTAAATGACTAGCTCTGCTTGTCTGCCAGAAATTTGCTATGGCACCACTACTTTCAAGATTTTGCAAAAATGGAAAGGTCCTTTTGCATTTGTGGTAAATAATTATAATTCATAGATTTTTTTTTTTTTGCATTGTTTGGTGGTCATATTTTACTTTCTTTCAAACTCAGGTCCATAGGGTTTTAGTTTCTGATTCAAATCCTATGTTTCCCCAACTTTTTATTTATTTAAACATGCTTAGTTTAGTATGGTAATTTAATTTTTCTTTTTAAGCTTTCAAGTTCTGAACTCTTAAATGTTAGTTGTAAATAGCAAGCTATTTACTTCTTGATTCTTAGCATTTGATATCCTTGACTTTATATTCTAGGTGGGTCAGGAGTTACAGGAACTGATCATTCTAAAATCTATGAGATGCAAAAAACTATTCAAGTTCTACAAAGTGGAAAAAATGGAATCTACAAAAAAAAATGAAGAACTTGAGGATAAAATAAAAGACATAAATGAAAAATTATCTTCTGCAGAAAATGACAAGAGCAACTAAACATGGAAAAGAGACAAATAATTGAAGAATGTGAAAGCTTGAAACTGGATTGCAGTACGTTGCAATCTTATGCTATGAAGCAAAGTGATTGTGTGACAGAAAAGGATAGAATTCTTCCACAGAGTACATCAGTGGAAGAAGTCACACTACAACAAGCACTGCCTGGTATAAAATGCTTGGAACTTATTTCAGACTGGTATTTCATTGCACACTAGTTGTTTTTAAACACTTGAATAAATGAATACTTCTTGGAAATGGAGTATTCATGGAAACAACTTTGAGTAAGTTGAGAATTGCTTGGTTTGGATTCAGTGCCATAGTTAATAATAGATCACAAATAGGAATTTTCTCCTAAAAATGGTTAAGTATTGGCTTAGTGTTTCTCAACCTACCTTCGTTATCCTTTTATTTACATGTAACTCATTGATTTATGAGGCCATGCAGATATCTGAGAAAAGTTTATGTACGTTGACATTTTGGGGAGGAGGTAACGGTCTGTTTCTTGTAATCCATATTGAATACTTCCTGTAACTCATCAGGGCCCAAACCCTCCAGTTAAGGAATGCAGTCTTTCTTCTTCAAAAATCTGTTGGTGCCTTTTGAAGTGATCTCCTATATCAAGCAAAGGCCTGAGTAGTAAGAGCCATAGATCTTCTGCCATTTTCCATGCTAAAGATGATATTTACAGTATTGGATGAAATACACCAGTATGCCTTCATGGCAGGAAAACATGATGGGAACTCTTCCGCTGAAAAGATGCATTTCATTTTGCACTTTGTCCTTCTCTCACACTAAATGAAAAGCAAGTTATTCCCTTGCTTTTACCTTTTTTTTATTTGGTTGCTGACTGGTTTGGGGATCTGAACCCCTTGACCTTGGTGTTACCAGCACTGTATGACAACCAACTGAGCTAACCAGCCAGTCCTGAACAGTTATAGGCTCCCATGTGGGAAGACTTAGTTTTAATCCTTTAATTTATTTAATGAAAAGCAAGTTATTCCCTTGCTTTTACCTTTTTTTTATTTGGTTGCTGACTGGTTTGGGGATCTGAACCCCTTGACCTTGGTGTTACCAGCACTGTATGACAACCAACTGAGCTAACCAGCCAGTCCTGAACAGTTATAGGCTCCCATGTGGGAAGACTTAGTTTTAATCCTTTAATTTATTTAATGAAAAGCAAGTTATTCCCTTGCTTTTACCTTTTTTTTATTTGGTTGCTGACTGGTTTGGGGATCTGAACCCCTTGACCTTGGTGTTACCAGCACTGTATGACAACCAACTGAGCTAACCAGCCAGTCCTGAACAGTTATAGGCTCCCATGTGGGAAGACTTAGTTTTAATCCTTTAATTTATTTAATGAAAAGCAAGTTATTCCCTTGCTTTTACCTTTTTTTTATTTGGTTGCTGACTGGTTTGGGGATCTGAACCCCTTGACCTTGGTGTTACCAGCACTGTATGACAACCAACTGAGCTAACCAGCCAGTCCTGAACAGTTATAGGCTCCCATGTGGGAAGACTTAGTTTTAATCCTTTAATTTATTTAATGAAAAGCAAGTTATTCCCTTGCTTTTACCTTTTTTTTATTTGGTTGCTGACTGGTTTGGGGATCTGAACCCCTTGACCTTGGTGTTACCAGCACTGTATGACAACCAACTGAGCTAACCAGCCAGTCCTGAACAGTTATAGGCTCCCATGTGGGAAGACTTAGTTTTAATCCTTTAATTTATTTAATGAAAAGCAAGTTATTCCCTTGCTTTTACCTTTTTTTTATTTGGTTGCTGACTGGTTTGGGGATCTGAACCCCTTGACCTTGGTGTTACCAGCACTGTATGACAACCAACTGAGCTAACCAGCCAGTCCTGAACAGTTATAGGCTCCCATGTGGGAAGACTTAGTTTTAATCCTTTAATTTATTTAATGAAAAGCAAGTTATTCCCTTGCTTTTACCTTTTTTTTATTTGGTTGCTGACTGGTTTGGGGATCTGAACCCCTTGACCTTGGTGTTACCAGCACTGTATGACAACCAACTGAGCTAACCAGCCAGTCCTTAACAGTTATAGTCTCCCATGTGGGAAGACTTAGTTTTAATTCTTTAATTTATTTTTTGGGCCCCTGGCCAGTATGAGAATCCAAACCCTTGACCATGGTATTCTGATACTGTGCTCTAACTGAGCTAACTGGCCAGCCCCCATTCCCATGTTTTTAGTACTTTGTGCTCCCTGTGAACTTCAGGATGAGGTCTAAACTTCTTAGTTGGACATGTAATGTCCATCATGATCTGTTCCCTGTCTGCCTCTTTTGTTTCCACTCTTCCCATTCTCCTCACATTCTGAGCTTTAGCCATATTGAACTTTCTATAGCTTCTGAAACCAATGGTGTTGTCTCTTTGCTCTGTCGCCTTTGCTGGTTTCTCTGTGTGGACTGTTGCCATGTTTCTTTTAGCTAACTCTTACTATTTTGATTCAGTATGGGTATTACCTCAACTGGGAGGTACCTAGCACTGCCACTTCCCTGGCCCCATTGGCTCCCCCTAGTCTGGATTAGGTGTTTGCCTTTTTTTCCCTCTCATAGCACTTTGTACTCACTGTATCACACTGTATTGTAATCATATATTCACTAGTTTTCCTTCCCCTCTGAATTGTACGCTCTTTGAGAGCAAGGACTACATTTTTACATCTTGTGGTCTAGCACCTGTCCTCATGGTAAATGTTCAGTATTTCTTTGAATGAAAGTCAAATGTATGACCTCAGCTGAACTCATGGTATTGCCTTTGTGTTCCTCTTCCAGAATCTCTTCTATTTATGGATCTATCTATACTACCAGATTGAATGGTCTTTTTACCAATAGTCATGTCTAAATCACTTTAGCTAATTGATACTATCATATTGTTGTGGTATAAATATATATTTATTGCTTTTAAGGGTTTTTTTCCCCTTCAGTCTTAGACCTTATGCTGTTTCTTGCTACCCAAACTAATTAACTCATTTTGAAATGTAGTTGTTAGTATTTTTATCAAGGTGATAACTTATGACTCATTCAGAATACAATCATAGTTCTTTCTTATACATTTCCATAGAATTGGATTTTAACATGTCTTTTTGTTTGTTTGTTTTTTTGTTTTTAAAAGATGACCAGTAAGGGGATCTTAACCCTTGACTTGGTGTTGTCAGCACCATGCACTCTGCAGTGAGCTAACCGGCCATCCCTATGTAGGGATCTGAACCCGTGGCCTTGGTGTTATCAGCACCACACTCTCCCATGTGAGCCATGGGCCGGCCCTTAACATGGTTTTTAACCGGCACTTATATTATGATTTCTTTGGTATAATCAAAATAGAAATACAAAACAACAAAAATGTGCTTCACTTGGAACTGTTGGCACTTGTTAATTAAGCTTATAAGTATACTTTGTTTTAATTGGGTTGCATTTCTTAGTTTAATATAGGAGGTAATAAGTTATTTAAATTTTTTTAATGTCAGGTTCATTTGTTGTTTTTACAGATGCTGAAAATGAAATGAGACTGAATAGTTTAAACCAGATAAACTCATTTTAAGGGAGACAGTTTTTGACATTGGTGTAGCAAGAAAAAGTATTTCAATTTATTATAGGTGATTATTTTTTTTTCAAAAATTCATGTGAATTTACCCTAAGAACTTTCATTTGAGTGATTTTATGTTTGCTGATTAATAAATCACAAATTGACATAATTTACAAAGTTGCATGATTGAAAAATACAGGTGTATCTTTTTGAAGATTAATTTGACAAATGTTATATGTGTAGAGACAGGGGAAGCAGATCCTATACTGAAGCGAGGAATGAATTTTGATTTTCCTTGTTGAATTTGAGGATTTGTTTCTATTTCTAATAATTACAAGTTATTTTGTAAGTAAATAAAAATAAATATATGTATATACTTTAATATAATAAAGAGATCTATAAGAATGTCTAAAATGAGTGGCTTTTAAGACGGTTCAATGTTAAATTCTTATAATTTTTATATATCACTAAAAAAATTAGAAACACAGTTACATAGTTTGCCTGCTTTTTTGTAAACTGGAAATTTCTTGTTATCTGAAAACACTGCTTTAACATTTTTGTAGGATAACAATCTCACTGAAGACAATGTGAACCTTCAAATGCTTGTCCAAGTTTTAGAAAAAGCGAATTCATTATTGAGCCAAGAAAAGGTGGGTGCTGTAAAAATTGGGGCAGAATTGGGCCGAGCCCGTGGCGCACTTGGGAGAGTGCGGCGCTGGGAGCATAGCAGCGCTCCCGCCGTGGGTTTGAATCCTATATAGGGATGACCATTGCGCTCACAGCACTCACTGGCTGTGTGCGGTGCCGCCGGTCTCAAAAAGGACAAAAAAAAAAAAAAAAAAAAAAAAAAAAAAAAATTGGGGCAGAATTAAAATGCTGTGTGTATTATGCTTTACAGCTAATGGCCAGTTTATATCAAAACTGAGAATCCTCTGGATAAAGCTGATCATCACTGATGCTTGTCAGGCCAGGTTGAAATACCTGGACAAGGTTAAGGGTATGAGAGACTGGCCAGAGTTTATGTTTAGAGATAAGCCAGTAGGCACACAGATGTGAGCAGAAAAGATAGGTACAGGCCCCATTTTGGTTTCTGATGAAGGCCTGACAGCAGCAGCATACATGGGTGGGTCGAGGGGTCTGGAGGGGCATACTGTAATAACTGTAGCTCCTGCTTATGTGCTCCAGAATGTGTCCATTGTGGTGGACAGGATTTCTTTGTGGTGAGGGGTTAAGAGGGACAGTTTCAGTGGTAGAAGTAGGGTCTTTCTTGTACATGTTGGTAGCAAGGATCGAATTCTTGGGATTAAAATTCTGTATGGGGAGAGGTATTCTTAGGTCTGTACCACTTGACAGTAAGTCCTTGGCTAAGGCAGGTGCTTAAATATGGGACATTTGTAAGCTGGTGTTAAATTAAAGGCCAATGTCTGGATTCAATTTAAATTTTTAATTTTTTTAAGTAATACATGTTTACTGATATATGTATTCAGTAATACTCATACATACTGAAAAACTTCAGACAGTGCGAGTGGAGTATCCTTTGCTTGGCCTTTCCCAGAGGTGATCTCTTTTACTGCTTTCTGTTATATCTTTTCAGACTATATCTATGCATGTATGATTTTATATCTAAAGAGATTTTTAAAAAATACGTGTCAGCATACTAAAAATATTGTTCTTACACACCTTAACATTATATTTTCAGCATCTTTCTACATTAGTATATAGGCAGTGTTTCTCAAAGAGGGTGCCATTGTCATTTAAGTGAGAAGATTCTTAGTTGTGTGCACTGTCTCATTCATTGTAGGATCTTTGCCCCCACTTTTTATATACCCACTAAATGCCAGTCACTTTTTAAATTACTATATTATAAATGAGGATATTTCAAAAAGTTTATAGAAAGATTCATATTATCTTTTAATTCTATTCTGCAAATTTTTTGAAGTACCATCATATATTTTCTCTGTTCTGTTTCTGCTCCCATTGTTTTCTGCTGTTTACCTGACTGGCCTAAGTATATTTTATAGTTTGCAGACTCTCTGCACATATTTGGTAGGGCCTGTAACATTTTCATGATATTCTTGGATTCTGTAGCTATTCCCAATAGCTGTTTCTCCTTTCTTTTGATGCCAAGTAGTCCATTCTAACTATTCCTTGAATTGTGTCTGCTGTGGGGCTGCTTACTGATAAGAAATACCAGAAGACACAAAGGTGGAGGGTTCAATCCCTGTACCAACCAGCCACCAAAAAAAAAAAGAATGCCAAAAGTACCTTCAAAGCTGTATGTCCTCTTAA